AATATGTAAGCCACAAAGGCTGCAAAGATGACATTCGACTAGCATACACATTGAATTAAAATGGGGGGGGTGTAAATGCATGCATTCACTATAAAAAACCCCACATTTGACATTTTTTTACCAGTGTGATAAGTGCTGACTGCTGGATTCAGCCAAACTTCAGTCACTGGTAAGGAGCAAAACATAGTCACATCCTTTTCTGTTGTGAATTAGCATATTTTCAATTTTTCAGTAGGGACATGAACATTGTATTCCAGAGAGGAAAGTTTTTTCCTAAGCACAGGATAAGATGTCTTTTCCTGCTGTCATCACTATTAATGAGAAACATATTGTTCTGCCTGTGTTTTACTGCCGTTTTTCTTTACTTTCTAGTTCTGGTTTTATTTTGACAACAAGGTACATGTATATCTCGTATACTATCTGTGCCACATATCTGAACATCATGAATATGTTAAGGTCAGCCAGTATCCCGACTGTCTATCATAAATTCTAATACAGTTAGAATTACACTTGATATAGAATAAGAACTAACCTGCATTTAGATGAATATAACATGACCCAAGCTTTTCCACAGCTGTTTAATTATATGACCGGACCAAATAAGATAAATTCGCAAACTATCTGCTGACCACATTGTGTTGGTCAACAGGGCGTTTTCTGACCAAAACTCTGCTCTTTTACTTAGCATTTGCTGTAGTTAACATCGTGGGTGCTCATCAGCAACCGCACAGTGTGACTAGGTGACCTCATGGTCTTACATCAAAATATAGCCAACCAATACACAACAGAAACACAGTTGGAGTTACTATGCAAACACAGAAGGAGTTGAATCCCTGCTGATTATGGGAGGGATCCGATGCAATCAAATACAGCGGGACAGTGACTGAGAACCATACTGTATTATACCATTCATTAATTTTCATTGTAACCACACTTTCAGTTCAATGCAATTCTGAACTATGAAACACACACACAAACACTTAACACTCCCATGTCACCAAACACCCGACACTAGCTAATTCTCATGACAGAATTCCCCTCTTCTGGCTTCAAACTGTGGGTGGTGCAGGCATTACCACACAGTGGTACAGTAGGAGGGGTGCACTGTACAATAATCCACCGTGCCAACAGATGTTTTTAATGACAGAAAGGCTATTTCAGCTGAAGCCTGAGAAAAGGGGAAATGAAGAATGCAAAAGGAGCAATGCTGTCATAAGCCTAATACCGACAGAGTCCAAGGAAAACACTGATCAAAGCTGTGTTTTGATTCCATTCAATCCAGATCATGAAAGCAGAGTTTGTAGATATACCTGACCTTTTTCCTATCATCAAAAATCCTCAACAAAGAGCCAGAAAAACTTTCATCATGACTCACCGTGTCCTGGGGTTTATGGCATTACGACATAGACTTTTCTGTGCCTTATCATTCAGTCAGTACAATATAATATGCACCTGCCACTGCATTGCCTTATAGATATGGAAAGATTAAAAAGAACCTTTAAATGTCCCCTTCAAGACATATATGAATATTTTGCTTAGAACAATAGAGTGTGTTTTCCACAAAGTATAATTTCCTCATTAAAAGCCTTTAAAAGGCATCTACTCCTTCTACCTCATAAACAATCCAAATCTATGAATATGCAAATTGTGTTCATTTCTAAAGTTCCTGCTGGACACAAGATGTCTCTTACTTCTAAATCCATTCTCAGAGTATGTGCACTGGAGGCTTTAAGTTTTTACATCACACTTGTATAAGTTGCGTACTGGACCAGGCTTTACTATTTATGATGTCACAAATCATGCTTGTAGGCCTGCTCCTTAAAATCTGATTTTAAGGAGAAACAGAGAAAGGTTCTTTTTATGTCAAACTCTGCACATACATCATTCTGCACAGTGAGGGTCAAACTCCCTTAAAAATGAATAAAATAAAACATTCAAGTGTAAAACCTAGATGTCATAGATGACCACCTCCATCCAAGACATTTTCTCCTTTACAAAAATGTATTGCTGCAAGTAGATGATTGGCTACAGAATATAGGCTATTCTTATCCGGTATACAGTAATCTTTACTGTATATATAGTCAGCATTTCTGCATGTGTTAATATCTCCAAATGAAAGGGAAAGCCTTCTTCCTTTTCTGGAGGAGCTGGCACTCCTCTACCTCTACCAGCTCTGTAATTAGGTTCTGATGGGGGGCTGACTCTCCTCTGTGGCAGTATGTGGTGCCAGGCCTCACGGACAGTATCCACCCATATAGGCTCTCGGCAAGGACCCACTTAGCCAGAGAGAGAAGTTACTCATAAGGTGACTGCAAAAGAAGGCAATGGCTCCTTTTACCTCAGAATATCAATCACAACTTATTGGGGAAGAACACCGCCAAGTTCTGAGGTCACAGATTCAAGCCCCGACTGATCCTTTTTGAGTGAGTGCTCACTGGGGAGAGGTGAATAACTCCCTCTTCCATGTAAAATATGACAGATGATCGATCTCACATAGCCAAAGACATAACAGCGTGATTTAATGTGATGGGGGAAAAGAGTTTTGGTGGTGTTGAAACAGAGATATGATGATCTCGTTTGTGTACATTAGAGACTGCCTTGGAATGAGCAGGCAAACAAGCAGGTTTCTGCGTTGCTGTCCAAATGGTTTCAGTTAGGAACTCTTACTCGTGCAAGCTACCGCAGAGAAGAAATCTAATGGCAAAACAAAAGCATATTCACTTTTATGACCACCTTCAGGATTTAGTGGCACTCATGTGGATGAATTACTGGCTCTGAAAGAGATTTGTCATTGCAGTCTATCGATTATATATGCCACAACAGTTAAACAGGATTAAGGCTGGGTGAGGAAATGGCTACTTTTTAAGGCCATACAGGTGTGGTGTTCACCAACCTTTCATTTTTATTTTATACAAGCGTGGAAAAACTAAAATACACTACATCTGTTTGTCATGTGAGCAATCTTAATCATCTAAAAAAAGTTACTTGCGAGGAAACGGTTCTGTCTAATTGTTTAATTCATATAATAATTCACATAATTTGAAAGGCAATGCCCGCATTAGACATTTCAGCACTAATGGAGAGCAGATGATGGATGGATGATGGGGAGTTTTACTTTCCAAAAAACTCTTTTAACCAGGCGAGATGATTAAAGGGTGGGAAAAGTAGGTTACACAAAGCATCCAGCTGCCCAGTAATATCACAGTTTTGTACTATTGGCTCAACATCGAGTCGACATCATGTGGGGAGAGCACAAGGGAGGATTGTCTTATTTTGAAAAAGAGTCTTACTTAAGGCAACAATTACATTTACTGAAGAATGACAGTGTTATACTTTACCCTGAGCACCAGTTCAGCCATTACCAATAGTTTAAATATTAGTTCATGAAATGCGGGTGTTTCAAGAGGCAGTATGTCATGCCTTCATCTTAATCCCCACGGTTCACCTATTGATCATGTAAGCATCTGGTTGGGCTCAATCAGTTCTCAGTGGAAATCGACTGGAATGAAATCTTGTCCTTCTGCGGTGCTTCTAGGGCTGCAACTAAAGATGATTTAGTTTTTTGATTAATCTGCCAGCCCTTTTTTGATTCATCTTTTGTTCTATAAATGTAAAAAATTGTGAACAATGTCCATTTATCAGAGCCTAATGTGACACTTGTTCAAATTGCTTTTTTTGTCCGACCAACAGTCAAAAACCAAAAGATATTCAATCTACTATCATAGAAGTTCGCGAAAAATACCAAATATTCCCATTTGAGAAGTCAAATCTTTTACATGTTTAATCAAACATCAAAATTTTTGCCCATTTTCTGTTAAACAACTACTCGAATACCCGTTTCAGCTATATATGTTGCATATATACACAATTTTACATATCACTCTGATAATATCATTTTGAAGCTGCATCAAGACAGTTGAAACACTGAGAATCCTGATCATCTAAACAGACAGAACACAAATGACCTCAGTGCCTCAACTTCAAATGTTAACCTCCGTTCAGACGGATGATTGAGTACATTTACAGCAGTAAAGTGAAAGAATTAGACCAGTAACATAAATATTCCCAACATTCTGACAAAGCTCATGTGCTAGTCCAGCATTGGGGTTCAACTACTGCATTTTTTCCTCGTCTTCATCCAGTAGTGATAGTAGAAAATGGCACCCTGGCTTCGCAAAACAGTGTTGTAAAGTTTTTATGACTTCAAAAACATAATTTTCCACCGACAGGCTATGCAAGTGATGAGCATGCCATCTGGCCTTTAAAATGTAGTGAGATAAGGTCCTGAGATAACTCACTGAGCTCACGTCTAGGAGCAGGGCCCAAATCCAGGACCAAGGCCTGGAAAAAATATTTTTCATTTATAAATATATGTTAAGTTGGTTCTTAACTGTCTGATGTGGTAGTGATGTACAGACAATGTACAGTGTTTAAAGAGTGAGCATTATGAGTAGGTACTAACGTCATTCAAAATGTATTAAATACATCTAACTGAACAGAATAACAGAGTCTAAATAGACAAAAAATTTTAATGAAAATTATGGATATATAAACCAACCATGAACCAATGCAACATGCAATAAAATATTAGACATGCCTAAATGTATCAAATGTACCATTGCTCATATGGAAATAACATGATCCTTTCAATAATAAAACAATAAAGAAGTTTACTAGCAGCAAACAATGCACAAGAGGCTTTATAGTATGGCCTTCATATGGAAAAGTGGATGGAAAAGTGAGGCAACCCTCAGTTCCAAATTACAGCATCTTACACAATACTATTTTCCCCCACTTACGAATAGGGGTGTGACTCCCTGAGGGTCAATAACAAAAGATTTGACAAGATGTTGCCATTGATGCCCTACTGAGCTGACCTTGTAATAAGACTTAATGACCTTGTCTCAGAGCAGTCCTGGGTGGTGTCTGGAGGAGTTAATGGCGCTCTATATAAACCTATTGCTGTTATAATGTAAACAGTAGTGCTGTTGGATACATACCTGGGACATGCTAAGGTTTGTGTATGAGCTTTGGACTGAGAGGAATTCCTCAACAGGAAGGAGGAGGCGGATTTTGGAGTCGATGTTGATCAGCTGCTCCAGGTCAGAGGGCTCTGGGGTGTAACCCTTTCTTGTCAGGACTGACACAGCCCACATGTCCTCCTGGAAAGGGAATCATCACTTAAATTAATTACGGCCCACAGGGTATATGCCTGCTTTATTTTGTGGCAACGTTAATAAGGGACTGATAAACTGATTATCTAAGTACTGCTTATTAAGCAACTTTGTGACAGTGATGTCTGAAACAGGGCAGAGGTACAAGTCTGACTCCAGCACTTGGTATTCACTTCTGGATGGTGAAAAGGGTGCTGATCACTCTTCTCCACGCTGCATGCCAACTATATAGCCAAATGCCAAAACTTTGACAATTGCCTCTTCCTCTCAGTGACTATCTGTCCCAGTAAGACTCCCCTCACAGCCTATGGGAATCAATGGGTGGGTGGTGAGCTCATCACAGCCCGGTGGTGAGATGAGATCTTGCAGTAATGCTTTCATGCCAAAGAAGATCACAACTCTGCAAAGAACACAGCTGTGACCTCTGGATGCTGTGAGGAGGGAGCAGAAGAAAACTGGCAGAGGACAACAGCAAACATAGGGGTCTGTTAACTAGGTGGAGCACCACACACACAAAGCCAAAACGGAACAAATGACAACCAGAAATTCTTGTGACACTGATTTGTGTTTCATATTTGCAGATTTGTTCTGATCGAGTTAATCCAACGTTTTATCCACTGCAGTGGTTGGACGTGGCAGAATACCCCATCCAAGACTTCAGACAGGCCTCGGTTTGTCCTTCGCTCACATGCACATCCTTTGACCGTGGTATGAAAATATGAGTTGTTAAACAAACATAACATGAGTGAAAACATCGGTGGTGTTCTTCACAGTGGTTGATTCTACATAAACAAGGAACACAAAGGATGAGGAACCAAGAAATAATGCATTTTTTTTGTTGAAACAAATCAAGTCCATCTTTCATTGAATAGTTTGACATTTAGGGACATGTGCTTATTTGCTTTCTGGCCCAGATTTAGATGAGAAAACCATTACTCTCGTTTGTGTGGTAAATATGCAGCTACAGCAAGCAGTCAGTTACCTTAGCTTAGCATGAAGATTAGTTTAGGCAACGGCTTGGTGTTTTTACACTTACTACAGATTTGTACAGATCCCATAAATTAAAATAACATGGCTTTAGAGGTGCTATATTGGGATTTGGGTACATTTGGAAAAAGCCAGGCTGTTGTTTCCCCCTGTTTCCAGTCTTTATGCTAAGCTACAGTAAGCTTGCATTGGCTTCACATTTAGTGTGAGAAATAGTGTTGATCTTTTCATCTAATTCTTTTCTTTCTAAGTCTTTATGCTCTCTTTTTTCAACACTATACAGTTGTTCTTTAATCCCCATGATGACAACTACTGTTCCTTAAGCCGTAGATAAAAGCTGAATGTCAGTAAAACAGCCACTTCTGCAGCAACAAAATGTTCTATGATTACAGACTGCTACTAACTTACTGCCTCCGGTTACCAGAACTACACCAAACTATGGAGCTTGTTAGGACAAGAGTCGGTAATATCAAAAAAAGTGAGCGAGGCAGTGAGCAGCAGCCTGTGATTGATGTGTCCTGGGGGATTCTGCAAAGAACTGCGTGAAGTCCTCAAAACTAAAGACACCTCACTGCCAAACTCCTGGTGACATAAATAATGTGCTTTACTCTGTTATGGCTATTCATAATAGCATGTCTCGCAATAACAGGAAGTCTTCCTCTAGCCAATAAAAAAACCCAGAGCATCTGCACTCCCCTCAGTTTGGTATCTGCCACCACAATTACTACAATATTGTTTTAAAAGTCAAGGCAAACGTCATAAATAGCAAGACATAAAAAAAAATCCTGGCATGCTGTCCCACGGATGCAGAGCTGTCGGGGTCAAGCTAAATGGAACCGTATGTGAAAGGTAAGTATGTTCCCTCTCACTTCCCAACAGGCTTCATCCCATCTGACTTCAAATTGGCCTCACAGCTGCCAAAAGGGCTATTAAAGCAAATTAAAACTGAAAATAAAAAACATTTGAAGTTCAGGTGGTTGGTTCACATTGAAATAATCTATGGCTCCAGGTGGCACAAGGTCTCAGATGAATCTTCAAAGAAAAACAAGAGACCTCAGTCTCAATCTGCACACCCTCACTGGGAGTGCAACTGCTGCGTATAGTAAAGCTACATGAAAGATCCCAGCCACTGAATTTTCGTAAAAATACCACAGAGGGAATTGTTAGGAAAACTCGATAATAAAATGAATCCATAACATGCGGCATTCCATGTGAACTGCATATGGCACCTGACATCTGGTTCATAATCTGAACTGCTTTGAGGAGTCAGAATCTTCTGCCCAGAGGCTGTCTCACCTGCCAAGCACTCATCAAAACATGGATATCTGACCAGTGTTACTCTATGTCCTGTTCTGAGGTTACTTAATGTGTTCAATAACATCATTCAAAAGGCCAAATGTTAGATAATGAACTAGGTCAAAACAAATAAGATAATACAGAGACTGTATTAAAGGGATGTGACTAAACACTGGAGACAATATTTGCTTTCTATAAATTATGAACTGTGCATATAACCGTAAATATAAGATGAAAATGTTGGTAGCAAGAGCAGTGGTGCTGTAGGACTTCTGGACAGGAAGTATTAAGGAACTTGAAAAAGAGAGACTCATCCTACAGCATATGTTGTCTGTTAGGGGTTCATGTCAGCCTACCTCGCTGTCTACGCCTCTGGCACTGTCCTCTTCCCCTTCGTCTACGTCTTGGAGGAGCTCAGCCAGACGCTCTTTCTCCGCCTGGGTCATAAGCACTTGGTCCCCCTCACCACTTACTAGCTATCGCATTACACCACGTTTGGATGGAAGAGAATGAAAATCATTATTTGCATAACATTTCTCCTTTCAGTGGTGCCCTAGTAGGCTTAAAATGTGACTTTCTCTTGAGCTAGAGACAAATATTTTCCTCACTGGAAAAACAAACTCGCAAGAGACTGGCTCCAAGTCATGCGATATACCCTAGCACTGCATTTAGCCTGACGTGAACTTTGACATACCTCAATGTTTCTCTTGACAAAGTCCCTCTGTTTTTTCTTTCCTTTCGAAGCCCCACAGTGGCTGCCTTCAAATTGCTCTTCCCCAGTCTCCCCATGGCCTACTTCAAATGATTCTGTCAAACTGTTTGGCCTCTTTTCACCTGTTAGGAAAGCCACACTTTAGATTCCAGTGGGTAAATATTGAAAAAGTAAGTCAAAGCTCAAACAATAACATTACCCAAATCTGATTTTAAAAAATCATAGAATTTCTCTGGGAATCATTTTTCAACCATAAGTTATTATTCAATCATCTGATCCACATGATTAAAGAGTTTGCTGCTACCAAAATAATCTTGTTAACAATTTGCAAAATGTGAGACTTCTCTAGCTCTGCAAGGTGGCAGAGTGGGTGGGAAGACCATGCTTCAACTAAACCGTAAGAGGTTCAAGCCCCCATGATAACAAGCAGCCAACATGCCTCCCAGAAACTACACACTGAATTCCTCACAGTTCCCGGGCTGCTGTTTTGGAGAAAAAATTTGATTTTTTTTTTCCTCCTTAGGGGATCAATATCATAAAAAGCCACAAGATCTTGATCAGGAAACTATTCATGAGTCATATAATGGGAGAACTGTTATTATTGCACCTCTGGAAAACTGCTGTAATATCTGAGTTAGTTACTACTATCTGCACCAACCTACCATGAAGGGAAAAACAACAGCTGCAAGTTCCCTGAGCTCATGGTGCCATCAAGTGCACAATCCAGGCAGTGCAACATAGATTTTAAGACAACATGGAAATACGCATGCTACATTTTCTGTGATGTTCTATCTTCACTCACTTTGCTCCAAGTATTGGCTGTCTTCATTGGGCTCCCAGTCTGGAACCTGGGTTTCAAACACAGGCACAAAGTCTTCCTCCTCTTCTGTCCCTTAATGATCAAAAACAGTTTTAAGATGTCTCACAGTGACTGCTTGTACTAAACTTTTCAACACTGTTGTTCATCTGTATATTGTTTCCTACGCTCACCAGTGGGTGCTTCCAGAGCCAAAAACAGCTTTGTGTTCAAAGCTTCATGGGCACATTCAGAGTGACCTTCAGGCGTATTCTGCTGCAGAAAAATACACATTATAGCATACCAGTGAAGTGAAGAGTGACCTTTTTTTAGTCCAAAAAAAGTACTGTCAAGTGAATTGGCAATGTAAGTAAGACTGTAAAGACTGTGTCTACCAGGAGCTCTTCCCAGAGTTTAGCTTGAAGTTCTTTCCTTTGACGCTTGACTTCTTTTTCTTTGCAGATCTCCGCAGACAGTATTTCATCAAGTTGTCTCATTTCCTCAATGGCTCTCTGTAGTTCGAAATCTTCCTTCTCTTCATCAGTATCAGCCTGACATTGAGCTAAAAGAAGCACAAACATACAGTGTGGGTAACTTGATTAAAACTGGATCGTACTAAAAGTGTAGTCTACTACTCCACTGCACAGAACACTTACCTTTGTCAGGATCTCTGGATGAGGAGTGGATTATAGTTTCTTCAGAGCTGCTCTGGATCTGGATCTACAGGGAAATTGTTGGAAATTACCCAATTTTGTAAGTCAACAATCAGGAATTTTGTGATGTTAAAGTTTCCTCTTTACTTAATTACCCGAGTATCAGCAGCATCATTGGTCAAAACAACAAGGGCAAATGGAGTTGTAGGACAGATTCTGTCACTATGATGCAATGACACGCTCGAAACACGGCTACCTGTTTGCTCACACGACGCAGGTCGAGAAATATCATCTAAACTACCTCTGATAATTTCCATAGTGGAATTTTCTTAAGCTGTGTTTCAAGAAAAAATACGACAGAACGGCAGAGTAGTTATTAAATTGCAGTTATAGCTGTCGACAGAAACTTCCCAGAGTTTTTATTTATGGTAACTATGGACGCAAACATTCCCGGATGTTGTAACTATGGAAATATGCATTTGTTACTATGGCTACCGGACGAAATCGAGGCAGCTCAGCTGATGTTTCGATCAACGCAGCTAGCTAGAGTAGCGGGTATCAAGCAAGCTAGCCATTAGGGAGCTAGCTGGCGGTTAGCCGTAGTAGTACCCCTCGGCTCGTTCAATCATATTTGTGTTGATTCCGCAGCAACGTTAAATGTCTCCGGTGTCGCTGAGCTATTGGTGATAAATGTCTACAGCGTGAGATAGCGAGGGTGGAGGTTTCAAAGGCCGTGTTTTTGTGGTAGGTAACCAACAAGCCATTTTAATGTGTGGCGAGCTAGCGTAAGCAAGCTAAAAAGGCTAATATTGATCATCTCAGGTAAATTAGCCGACCTAACAATGAAAGGCAGCTATGATTTGCTCTGCTGGATATTCCTTTTCTGTATGTGGCAGTACAGTTGCTAGCTACGTGTCCTCGACATCATCATATACTCTTTATGTTAATGTGCTATCTTTTGTTTTTGGCCTTGTTCTCTGTAACGTTATCGAACTGAGCTAGCATAGCTAACAAGGAAGCACAGAAAATGGGTGTGTATCCGCTGAGACGGAACCATTCAGAACCAGACTTATATTTTATATGTGGGGGGTGTACTTAGCTAAAGTCATTGCTTCGCTCACATTGATATTTAACGGCATTAAAAGGAGAAAACGTCGCTGGTTTCTAGCGCTCGCTAAATGCTTACACCTTTATTGCTAGTGCTTTTCCCCCTCTGTCTTGTCATTGTACCACTGTACCACTGTCCCACTGTCCCACAAATCACACACATCTCACTGGCCGCTGTCCAAGCTCTGCAGATTACCTGCGCCAGGCAGGTGTCAGCAAATGGTCAAGGCTTTGGGCTATTGCTTTTTCATGATGGTGTATTTATACCTTTTTTTTTTTTGTATTTACATCATTTTCTGATCATAACAGGTTGAGTTGACTCTGCAGGAGAAGATGTGCAATGGAATGATAGAGTCACTATCCAATGCCTGTTGGGCCCATACCTCAGCCACTAAACGGACCGTGTTGTTGCTGCTGGTACTGACTGTAGTGTCCACTGGGCAATGGTCAGGTAAGAGGCAGAATTTATGGTTGCACACTCATGTAATACAAAGTTGTATGGGTCTGTATTGTGTTAACGTTTCTTTTCTCTGCTGATAAAACATTATTAAATCAGCTTTGTGATGGCACAGACAATACTGGGGAATCCTGATCCTGACACTAAATGGATGTTAACATTCTTAACATTGATTTCAATGTATGCCATATTATCTAGACGGATCTAAAGGTGCCACACTTATGTAGCGCCTTTGTAGTCTTCCAACCACTCAAAGGGCTTTACACTACATGTTACATTCATCCTTTCACACACATTCATACACTGACAACAGCCCATCTGTCAAAAGAAATGAACTTCCAGTGTCAATGTTGAACAAGTAGCCTCACAAACAACTGTGACAGTTCAGTCTTTGGTATAGATAGATAGATAGATAGATAGATAGATAGATAGATTTCAATAGGAAAGGATGATTTTACGATTTTCTTCTTTTTGAGATTATTGTACTCTTAATGCAGATTACAAGTGAGGCTTGCAAGAATAATGCAAATCATTTGTCCTGTAACATTTAATTATTTTCTCTTGGGTAATATGTTTAAACTGAAGAAGAATCATATCTTAGTTGAGAAAATCACATCATTCTTGGTCGAACAGAATTTTCCTCCTGCATTTAAAGTTGTTTTGTTTTTTTATTTTTAATCATAAATTTGAGTGATAGTGGCCAAAAAACTGTAAAATGTGGTCAAACAGGCACATACAGTTGTTCATATTATTTTGGCACCCTATCTGAATATGAGAAGTAGCACACCACCACACTTTACACTATAATGTGATGCAACACTGCATCAAATTACACACTCAAATATTATTGTGTTGAATCAATGCCTGTCTAGCTGTTGTGTTTGTTGTTGACTCACTGAATTGGAGTTCAGTATATAGTAAGAGTGTTCATGTTATGTTCAACCCCTGTATGTGGTGCCACACACAGTTACTATAGGTCATGCTGTGGCTCTGTAACTGGTGGCCTCATTGGGTATGAAACCAGGCTCAAAATATTTGTTGTAATTCTACTGAAACCCTGAGCAGTTTCACTGAATTTCGTCTTCTTTGTCGTCTTTTCCCAGGATGCGTGAGGCCATATATGGTCCAGAACAGCTGGGTAAACCTCACAGAAACCAACAGGGGCTCCTTCCCTGTGGGCACAGTACTGCAGTACAGCTGTGACCCTGGTTACCTGCCAGACGGACCCAGCATCCTCACCTGCTCCGCACTGGGACGTTGGTCCTCTGAACCTCCTCACTGCATACGCAGTGGTGGTAAGATATTCTTCTCTGATCTGTAGAGTATTGGGTATTGACTGTGTTGTGCCAACAAGCCTGATTTAACATAATTCTGTCATAAGTAAAACAGATTTACTTTAAGTTATTTTCACATTTTAACTATACAGCATTTCAGTCTCTGTAATTCTTAGCCAATTTTGCTAATGTAGAAACTTACACTAAACACTTCAGTTTTTACTTCATATGTTGTGTTTTTTCCCCTCCTCAGCATGTCTACCCCTCTCCAAACCTGAGAATGGGGGCTACACCTGCCATCCATCCCCCTGTCGAATGTTTTCTCATGGCACTGTGATTGAGTTCTTCTGTGATGAGGGCTTCGTTGTCAGTGGAGACTACAACTACCTGACCTGCCAGGATGGACAGTGGGATGGCCCCATGCAGATCAGTTGCGTGAGCCAAGGTTGGTCAGTCCTCAAACTCCGATCTGTCAATAGGGCATGGTGTTCTGCCTGTAAGCACTTCGTTGATATGAACCATATTTTTGAATATTGTCCCTTTTTTAGGTTGTATAAGACCCTCTACTGTGCAGCATGGCTCAACTAATCTGACAGACACCAACAGGAGTTTGTTCCCTGTGGGCACGGTACTGCAGTACAGCTGTGACCCTGGTTACCTGCCTGCTGGACCCAGCATCCTCACCTGCACCACACTGGGACACTGGTCCTCTGAACCTCCTCGCTGTATACGCAGTGATGGTAAAGACAAACTCCTCATAGTACTGTCTGCAAGTCTAATTCTTATTTACTTATCAGTCCAATTCTTTATTGATTCCTACGTTTTAAAACACTTAAGTCTGAACGCAATCAACAGAGTATGAAAAAAGACATGTGTGTAAAAGGCCTACTGTTTAACTGCTGTTTAATTGGGAACTGGAACCCAAATCATTGGTTCAGCATTTGTTTTCATTTACGTTTTCTACGTCAAAGACAAAATCTGCTGACTCCGCCTGCATTACGCTTATGATATTATAACGTATGATATCTACCCTCGGGAACGGATGTGCTGCTCAGTTGGGAAGCTGTGGCCTCGTTCGTAGAGTTTCAAATAAATGGTATTCCTGGAATTTAAGCTTATGTTGTGTAGAAATATGTTACAGCATATTGCTGGTGTTTCCACCCTTACTTAAAATTGTCATTTTGCAGACATTACAGCTAGCCCTGTTGTCATCTTTCTTTTTGAAATTAAGCTTTGGACCGTTTATTCTTTCCTACCGCCATGACTCTTTCTTGTTGCAAGTTTTCAGTAGCGAAGGAAGGAAGCAAACATTTTACCCTTTTATCTGTTAAACTTTGTTCTGTAACTGTATTTTTGCCTGTTGCCCTTTTTTAGGTTGTATAAGACCCTTTACGGTGCAGCATGGATCAACTAATCTGACAGAAACCAACAGGAGCTCGTTTCCTGTGGGCACAGTACTGGAGTACAGCTGTGACCCTGGTTACCTGCCAGACGGACCTAGCATCCTCACCTGCTCCGCACTCGGACACTGGTCCTCTGAACCCCCTCGCTGTATACGCAGTGATGGTAAAGACACTCCTCATAGTACTGTCTGTAATCCTGACACTGTCTTTAGGCAACACAAACCCTCCTTTCACCTGCTATCGAAATGTACTGTATTCTGAATGCATAGAAGATGTCTGCATTAAGGCCAGGACACACCAACCCGACGGCCGACCGTCGGCAGAAAAGCAGTCGGACTGATCAGTCGGCTCCCGTCTCCCCGAGTCGGTCAAAAAAGTGCCTCCGAACACACCAGACCGATGCCGACTGGAGTGTACGTTCTGCGCGTGCGCGAGGCATAATACATCCCCATAACAGCAGGTGGCGTTAATCTGTGTTGTCGCCCAAAAAAATGAAAAACGGAAATGACGGATCACTCTAGACCTAGTAAACACAGAGCACGCTGTCGTCAGTCATTGTTTTCATCAGGGAGTGTTGATAGTAGTCAAGAAGGATCGTTATTGTCATTACTCGCTGAACGGAAAATACGGTGGCTAATAATAACAAGATACTAGCGTTGGCGTAGTATGTTTATCATCGTCACTTCCGGTTTTCTCGTGATTTGCTAGTCAAGTGCTAGCACTCCACCAATCAGATTGGTCATTGAGGGCGACGGCCACTGGCTGATTCTACATGTCGAATGGGCCAAAATGAACACTGACGCCGACTGATGAAGCCACGGGACACACCGAATCGACTCGAGTCACCGACCTCGCCTGACTGTCCGATGGTGTCCGACGGCCGATAATCGGGTTGGTGTGTCCGGGCTTTAAGGTGTATTACAGTAACATGGATTTGGATTGAGCAAAAACAAGTTTTTTGCTCCGGTACAAAGCATCTTCACAAGAGGTCAGAGGCACATCTTGTGTTGTTTAAATCAACATCCAGCAACTGTGATAACGAAAATAGACTTTGTATGACCAACACGATGGCCAGATTGTATTTTTATTGCAGATACACAAAGAGAAGGTGAGATACTGTAGAAAAGAACATAGTGATAGACAAGGCCAGTTTAGTTGTATAGTACATTCAACAACAAGCAAGCAACAAGCAAGATAAGATAAATGCACATGTAAACAAATAAACAGACATGTTTTTCTAAGTCCTGCTTAGACATAGGTCCTTTAATGATTAATACATACTTAGGATGATAGTAGGCTGATTTTGTAATTTCCACAACTACACCAAGATTTTTGGCTTGGTTTGTGATCTTTACAGGACAGATTTTGTTGTTAATGTGAGCTAGTGGGAGCCTGTAAGTAGTATGAACAGAAGCGGCCACAGAATGGAGCCTTGGGCAACTCCATATGTCAGTTTTGTATGCTCAGACGTGTTCAAAAATAGTCCCCCTTCTTCAGGTAGGAGTGAAACCAGTAGCTGGTAGCTTACTGAAACAATATAATTTCCTTTCTTCCCATGGACAGTATGCCAATCTCCTTATCAGCCAGAGAACGGTGGCTACACTTGCCACCCTTCCACATGCGGACGGCTTTCTCACGGCACTGTGATTGAATATTTCTGTGATGAAGGCTATATTCTGAAGGGAGATTATAAATACCTTACCTGCCAGTACGGGGAGTGGGACAGCCAAGTGAAGGTCAGCTGCCTCATGGAGCAAGGTAAAACAAAATAAAAATAGATGACACATTTGCACTCTTGGGTAAACAATTACAGTCACTCCTATAAAGATAACTGTGTGAACTGTTTATCTGTCTCACAGACCACAATCCAACTCTACCGTTGGGGATGCCTGCCTTGTCCATAGTGGCATCCACAGCCAGCTCAGTGGCCCTGATCCTGCTCCTGGTGGTGCTGTTTGTACTTCTGCAGCCAAAACTCAAGTCCCTCCATCGGTAAGTCTGCCCTCAGAATCGTGCTGCTCTCTACCAACATCTTGTCGTCGTGGAAGTAACAACTTGACAGATGTTAACTTTCCTATGGTCCTCCACACCTAGACGCGATCAGGGTGTGTCCGGCCAGCCCGTGTCTATCATGGTGGAAGGAGTCCAGGTGACTCTGCCTTCATACGAGGAAGCTGTGAACAGTAATGGAGCCTCAGCCTCAGCCGAGTCTCGAGTCCAGATAGTGCTGTCTGAGGGTCAGCATGCCACAACGCCAGAGGCTGGCCCCTCTAGGCCTTCTTCCGTCAAGCAGCAGCAGTCAGAGATGGCTGTGGTCCACCCTGTACCACCGTCCTCATCCTCCTCGTCACCCTCACCCTCATCCTCTGCCTGGGTTCTGGAGCATGCAGGTGCTGCAGCTCCTTCATCCTCACAAAGACGGCCGTCTGCAGGCAGCGACCAACACAGCCTGTCTCTGGACTCTGAGATGGACTACTCTGATGGTAAAGCCATCTTCAGACACACTTTTTATTTATTTATATTTTTTATGTATTTAAAATCCCCACTTTGTATTCACGCTCATGCTTTGTTTGCTGTCTACAGATATGCCACTGCTGAAGGAGGCCTGAAAAATGCTGCAGCCTTTGGACTTTTGGACCCGAGACAACCAGCATTGCTACTGATCTGTACTGGTGAGCTGGGATGCCTCCTTGAGAGTTTGTCAACACAGCTGTCCACACAGACAAGCTCAACTAAAGAGGCTCTGAGTGAAGCTGTGGGTCACTCAGAATAGTTCCTCTGACCATCCCAAAGGAGAACAGAGAAGGGATGCACATGTACATACATGCTTACATTTTTTTATAGGAATCCCTACACTATGTATGTAGGTCTAATGTCCGAAGCTCAGTTTGAAAATGTAGAAGAAAAACAGATGGGAACAGGCACCTCCTGAAGGAGTGTGTCTTAAAGGCTGTTGAAAAAAAAATGACTGATGTATTTCAGTTGAATGGGCAAAGCTGCAAATTCACTTTGGGAGCTAATAATCTCATCAGTGACTTGTTTACTGTTTTTTTTTTTCTTTAACCACATATCACCCCATTTCAGACATATTGGCAAAGATGCATGAAGGCCAGGTAATCTAGAGAAGAAGCCATGCAAACTTCCAACATTGTCTTCAAATAGTTTTGTGATTCAAAATCATTATTTAAGGTGTTTATTAATCATGACTCATGTCATTCTACGTGTCACTGTACAGTTTCAGGCTGCTTGCCTACCCAAGGGTTCACACTACTGCATTTTTCATTGGATTGAGGGCAAACATTTTGCAAAGAGTTCATGTATTCTCTTCATTATCATACCTTGCCCTCAATGGCCTTAGCTTTCCACTTCTATGCACAGGTATCTATAATATGTAAAATAAGGAATTTAAAAAATGAATGTCAGTTAAATGCCTCCACTGCTTAGTGATATTATGTGTGGCTTTGTCAGACACATCACTTGTACACCGGAAAATATTATTCTCTTTATTTATGCAGGCTGCTTGGGTTCCTGTTTTAAGTCTTAACGGGAAACTAAAGTGTGTATTTAATTTATTTTTGTCTAGAACGCTGTTGATCAGCCATGGCTTCTTTTGATGCTTCCACAGCTCTTGGAAACAAAAACTAGGTCTTTTCACTTTGCCGCTTCAGTTTTAATTCGACTGCAGGCACGTTATATGTGACACTGTAAATGTGGTTGGGAAGATCCAACACAAAAATGGAAGTAAGTGTACAGATTAGTGTAATGTCAGTTTTCACTTTGTTTGACTGTCCATTGAATTTTCTGTTGGACTGAGGAATTGATATTTTTTTTGTGAAGATGGTATTTTAATATATGTAAAAAGTTTTAAGTTAACTGTATATACCATACGACCATTTTGATTAAATATTATTTGAGGTGTTCAAATTGCCTGTATCCTTTCTCATTAGAATGCTTTGGATCATCTGAGACTGGCCTTTCTCTTTGGTCTGACATATTTCAATTCAAGTATTTAATAACCTAAAGCATAATTCTCCAGTCTAAAGGAGCAAATGACACATCATTAATGATTTAATAAACTCATTCATTCATACACACATCAAAATGCTTTCAGTCTTAGACCAAATATTTTGAATACAAAAATATAAATACAAATCATTGGCTTCCTCTTTTACCTGTACCTAACACTGCATTGACTTGATTAAGTACAGTAATTAAAATTATTAGTGGTTACACATTCTCTAACAATGGTACTGTCCGTATCAAAGGCCTGAGTGAAGAGTATGCAGCTGATAGTGAGACAGTGAAGGCACTAGCTGCATCCTCTGTAGGTTCGGATTCAGCCCTCCTCTGTTTCCCTCTCCGGCTGGGTTGGGTTGTCGTCTGCGATGCTGTCAAGGCTGTTTTACCTCTTGTTTAGCGTCAACGCTGTCGTATATTCTTGCATCTGTGTAAGAGAAGGGAGATATTTGAATCCAAATTCAGAAAGACCAATGGCTACAAGTGTGAGAAGAGGACCTCCAACCCCCCCCTCCCTCCAGCCTCACTGCTTAAAAAACACAGGCAGCTGCAACATTTACCCTCAGCTGGTGGCCTGAATGTTTGGTAACATCTGAAGCACAGGGCCAGGAGAAGGGCTTCAGTACACTGGAGTGTGATGTATATCAGAGGGAAGAGAAACATGGGTCCGATGACCTGTGGGGGAAAGGCCACCTTTAGGATGACAATGCACAGATTGATGTTTTGACACCCTGTTTCCATGGAGATGGTCCTGCTGCATCTGTGAAGAGGTGAGTCACGTGTTATTAGCTTTGATATTACAGTTTTTGAAGTTGATACTCAAATGCACACATTTGATTGTAATTGGAAGGAATGACTTGGTGTAACAGGATTTATTTCCAAGTGTTACCTTTTTATCTGAAGCTAGTTGCTGTATGACATACTGCTGGACATCATTTATATGCATATTGTTTATCATTTAGAGAATTCATTGAAAAATTGGGTTGAAATATTCATATGGAACCTTTGTGGAGGAAGTATTCATATCCGTAACTTAGGTAAAAGTAGCTATATTACAATGTAAAAACACAGTGCATTGAAATGAATCACATAAAATACATCATTATTTTAAGTAGATTCTGCTTAAAATAATGATGTATTTTATGTGATGTATCAAAAGTAAAAGTACTCATTGCACAGACTCCTGTGAGGGTTTTATTATTATATATTATATTAGTGGAATATTATTACAGATGGATTCGTGTGTAGCAGAAATATTTTAATTGGTTCAGTCAACAATAATGCTGCATAGTATACTATGAGAATTAGAATGTGACCGAGCTATAGCTCATAACTCAAAGCTAACTGTATCTAGTGTGTATTAACTTACTGTGGACTGAGTCTGCACATGACAGACATGACGTATCCCAGCATAAAGCCAGTGAGTGGCATCAGTGCGGCCACAGACAGAACATCAGGGGTGAGGATCATCCATAGAACGTCTTTGACGGCTACACCAGACAGGATGAACACTATGATGCTGGAGATCATCAGGATGCCAAGACCAGCCTGTCGGTAGAGCAAAAGCATGTTACAAGAGTCAGTTTATCTATCACTAAATGCTATTTGAATCTCAGCATCAAAGAATGAAACATCTCTATTTCTAAATGTGGCAAACATCGCCTGAAAGTTTAAAGGTCAGCTCCTAGTTAGCATTAAATGAGTTCCTGTTGCAGTCACCCTCCTGTTTATTTGGCTTGCTGTCACACTGTTACAGCTTACTGGGACACTTAAATAGAACATCATTAATGCTATCTGTACCAGATTATGTCTGTGTGAGGCACATTTCAGGAGTCTCACCTTTTTGACGACCGGTGAGTAGTTTGGTTTGTAGTGATTAATGGCAATGCCAATGGTGCAAGGCACCAGGGTGAACACGAGAGCAGTGATGATGCTGACGTACGGAACAGCATTTTCCAGACCGGGGAAGCCTTGGCAGTAGATAAAGAGCAGCAAAGGCATCAGACCCAGGGCCACAATACTGGAGCAAGTGGTCATCACAATGCTGGGAGGGAATCGGAGAAAGGAAGATGCATTATTGGACTGACATGTCTCAAATGGTGAAAAACAAGGCTCTTGTTTTGTAGGAACATTTCTGCTTATTGACAGTCTGTGATATGACAGCTAATTGTGCTGACGCAGCTGAAGTAGTAAATTATTGCAGGCATTTGTAATCTTCCAACGAGACAGGAATCAATACATCAATGAGGGGTTTACCTAAGGTTCATGTCGCCCTTCATGGCCAGGGAAAAAATGTTTGATAAGGTTCCTCCTGGACAGCAGCCGCAGATGAGCACAGTCACAGCCTTGATGGGATCCATCTGTAGGATTTTGGCCAGACAGAAAGCTGTCAGGGGCATGATGCCGAACTGGGCCAGCAGTGCAATGGCTACTCCTTTTGGCTTCAAGAGATGGCTCTTAATTTTGGAAATCTCCATCGTACAGCCGAGGGACACCATGGAGATAAAGAGGATGACAATGGAGAAGATATTGATGGTCTTGTTTAGGGTGTGGGAGATGTTCATTATACCCATGCTTCCATTGCCAGACACATTTGCTTCATTGTAGATGTTAGCAAATCCCTTGTAGACGTCCGTCACATTCATTGTGGCGCTCATCCCGACAAACTGTGTTTACTGTGCTGTGGCTTCCACCTGTCACACAAAGCAGATTAAATACATTAGTAGCAAAGGAATAACAGTTTGGGATACTTCATTAGATTGTTATACACATGTATAAATGCAGCCAATTACTTTTTATTTCCACGTGCAAGTGTGCTCGCTTCAGTATGGGGTTAGGTACTTTGAGCACTTTTCTTTTTATTTGATTTTATTTGTGGAGCTTTCTATTTAAAGCATCTCATGCTGAGTCAAGATACAAAGATACATTAACTTAATTGTTGGGCTAGTCTCTTCAAGAAATGGGTTGTAAAAAGATAAAATAGTGCCATTGTTGTCTTTTAATTGTATTCATTATCACTTGGCCTCATCAATTGCACGCATGACTCACAAAGCATTAAACTAATGTGTTCAATTGTAAAGTCTGTAAAGCATTTGCAGATGTTTTGAAGGCCTCAATCTGAGGTTGCGGCTAATAACATTCATTAAACATCTCTAATGATTTACCATAACAGAGGAAAGTCAGACACGAAAGAACAAATGAAGTTCGTTTTCTCTGTCTACATAAAATGTGTCGCTGACCTGGAACAGCACTAAAATAAAACAATTTTGCAGTATAGATATATATAGTTGCAACATTACATAACATTGTATTAATCATTTTAGAATAAAACAGTGACTCATTTATTTTGTCCCACATACTTGCACTTTAACCGCAATATTATAAGCAATTAAATGAGTGGAAAATGACTGAGTGGTAGCGCAACACTCCATAGTATTACAGGATGAGCGCAGCAAACTCGTTTTTGAAGTTTATAATCAATATTTCTGTTAGATGTGAAGCATCACATGGAACATTTACTGTAGCAGACTGAGGATTGGATAACATCAGACTTTTTGTTTGTTACACCTGCAGATGTTGTCTTCTACAGCCAAATAAAGTCATAACCGCAGAATTTTACACTACCTACACGCAGCCTGATGTAATGCTGCTTTTTTGGTTCCTGCTTCAAGTTTCCACATCCAGTGGTGGGTCGAGTACTAAAACTCCATATACTCAAATACTATCTATACTATACTATTCTATACTATATAAGTACAATTATTCCCATTAAACTAAATGGAACAGACCTTTAATTAGTATCATTGATAACCTGTGTTTACACTTTTTCATGTCAAAATGGCTGCTGTGAAAATTCAATTTAACAGATAAAGTTACACATGAAACATTATTTAGCTTACTATATATTCACAGTATGTGCACCTTATTCGGTGTGCTTGCAGAGGTTAGAGTAAGTTGTCTTTTTTACTAAGTGGCCAGATGTGGCCAGGGATTGTTGCTTGAAGCTCCATTTTGCTGTGGTTTTAGCTCGGCTAAGGTGGTGCTTATTTTGCTTCCATGAAACCTCAACTTGGCACCTGCATTAGAGTTGCTCTTCGCATGGTGTCCCCCATACACTCAGCCCTCACATTTAGCGCAGACGAAAGTATAAATGCAAATGTAATGTAGTAAGTAAAACTTACTCAAAATATACTAGAGTAAACAGAAGTACAGTTTAAAAACGGAACATCAGTGGAATTAGTTCCTTTACTTTTTCACGCATGTGCTGTACTTGTAATCTGTAACTACCCACCCCTGTCCACGTCACACTTGTAAGTTGCATACTGGTTGGAAACTGGCTTCCAGACCAGCTGTGATGACACAAAATCATACTCGTATGTACATGTCTTAAACCAAGATTTGAGGAGTTTAAAGGAACTTTCCCCTTTCATCAGATGAATGTGAAAACAGCCTTCTAATGTCAAACTCTGCACATGCATCCTTCTGCGCAATGAACAATAACGTTAAACACAAAACACATTTTGTGGGACTTTAATGCATTCATGATGTCCACATCTGCAAGTCTAAACAGCTGCTTCTGCAACTTTACTTTCCAATCAATGGTACAGGCTGTGACGGAGGTCTGACAGCTGCTTCACATCAATGATATTGTGCATTCTGGTAAATACTTTATTTAACCTTCACCATTTTATTTTCATTTCATTTTTGCAGGGACAGCACACAATTAAAAGAAATTGCATCCAAGTTTGCTAGCAACTAACCACCCCCCCGAACAGTAAATACACTACATAAAAGTCAACCCTGATGCATGATATAATGTCTTTTGCCAGGTTTTTTTTACCAAAAGCCTGAAATTTAAAAGGGATTTCTGTAGAGCACCATAAGCAGACTGCGATCCAACAAAAGTCGGATCTTGAGTAAAGCCACTGTAGGTTTGTATTTACAAGATAAAACCAGTTTTAAGAGGTAATGTTCGAGTCAAGGAATGAGTTGAGAAACAATAAAGGAAGAAGCACAAGTTGGTTTCCCTTTTCTTAGAGGCACCAAGATAATGAGTTACACTCATTTCATTCAATAACTCAATTATATCATTTAGTTATTGAAATGATTTAGTGCCCTAAATCATGATCAAGAATTTGACTCTTGTTTTCTTGTCACAACTTCTTTGGCTTTTACTTCCCACACAACCAGCAGAACAGTGTATACGCTACAACAGAATGTGCATGCAGTCATGGCTTGATTTTTCCAAAGGGGAGACATGCCAGGAATAACAAGTGTTTCTGGTCAACATGTCTCCTTGTTGCTTTTGTTGACTGGATTCTGATCATGCTGCTGAACTTTCTACACTCAATAGCTGATATCAGGCAGCAAGCACAGATACCTCTGCTGTCTGTAGGGTTGTGTTGAGGCTTAAGCCTTGTTTTCAGGCCAAAATGTAATGACTTCTTTGCAACTTTTTCTAAGTTTGGAGCTTCAAAAAAGTTCTAAATAAAATGCTCCTTCAGGTCTGGACTCTCAAGCAGCTGTGGCCATGGTGCAGATTTCCTACAGCTAACCAAAATGTCTACAGAAACATCTTCTGACAGAAGGATGCTGACATGTGACATAACAGCTGTGTGACGTCCGCATTTGATTGATGTGTGGAAACAAATATCTTAAAATATGTGCTTTTCCTGCTTTACGTGAGCTGAAATTAATCCTGTATGGATTCTGGGGAGTGTTGGATTATGTTTAATTAAAATGAAATTGAATTGTATGTTAAGTGGCTTGTTACAGTGTAGATCACCTTGAATAAAGCAGTGTTAAGTCTGTATGGTTAACCTGGAAAGAAGTGAATAAAATGATATTGTTTTTAATAAATAAGCCATTGTTTTACCACTTCATTTATTGTTGGACATACTAAAGTAGAGATTAACAGGCAGCTACTGTAATATAACATGATGCTGTGTCTCGTGAATTTCCTCCTGACCTTTTTTTTAGTCTTCACCCAACACTGGCACAATATGCCTTCATGCCTCAACTAACTAAACAAACAAGCTATTCAACAAGACAAACAGTACTTAAAACTTAAATGATTTGATCTTTTATGGAAATTTGCTGATAATAATAATATAAGAATAAAATAGCGCAAGCCTTACCCTTTATAAACACAGATATCATAATGATGGCCAAAGTAATAAAGTTTCTTACCTTCGGGCCAGCTTCAGCAACTTCTCTGGGCTCCCTCAGACACTCGTTTTGTTTCACATTCCTGTGTCTAACCCCCTTTTCTCTGTGTTTGTGCACCCTCCCCTCTCTGTCACATGGGCTCATGGCAACATGCACTCAAAAACTACTGGGATTAAAATATTAACTAACTTTAACACTACAACTGGGTCCATCTGACCCAAGTTGGTTTTACCATTTAACCCAGAATGCTGCTGGGGTAGATCCAACAAAATAAGCAAAATGAAATCCGTTGCTGGCTTAAATATGATTATTTTTGCTATATATCAGTTATTTCCTGTCCTATTGGCATGCTACTTTTATATTAAATAATAATAATAATATTAATAATATGGATATGTTATATGATAATTATTTAGTTGTGTCATTTTCAATAACTACCCACAATAATAAACACATTATACAAAAAGAGGCCTCTGCAAATGTGTATTTAATGACATTTTACACTTTTTTTAGCTTTACCAAAAGATTTAAAAATAAAAGTGAGTAAAAATAAAACCAGGAAACCAACACGCATTAAATTGCAAGGTTGGAGGATAATAGCATTATCAGCTAGCATATAGTAAAAATTCTAAGCTAGTTAATAAATGATCCCAGACTGTACTTTTGCAGTAAAATGACCTTAAGATAACACTCTTATCACAACTTATTGAAAATGTAGTACATATTTATATTAACCTACCATAAAATCCTGCCCATCGCGTGCTGTCCAAACCTCGTGACCCAGAGAGTTAGACAATGTGCGAGTGGGAAATTCTGATGAACCGTAACCATTTGTTCGGCTGTAAATGAACCCCATTACAAGCAACAAACAGAAACAACCCAGCGCTTTTTTGAGTGTGGTAGGTGTAAACAAGGCAATCCATTCCAGAGGCAAACCATCAAAATCAACTATGGTGAAGCTGTTGTCATGTCCATGTGTTATGTAGAATTCAAGTGAACCCAACTTTTAATTCAGTTACTGGAAATTATGTCCATATGAGTTTTTTCCGTAGTTACTCTTTTTCAGGGCACTGTGGGAAATGGATGGTGTGAAAAGAATGTAATTGCTTCTGTACTACTCAAAAGAGGCAATGTCTTCATTTGGCCTCACTTGAATGTGTAAACAAACCTTCAATTAATATTACGCAACCAGGCAGAGGATTATGTTTGCCTGGCAGAGTTATTAGTCTTTTCAAAAGGGGGGCCTTCTTTTTTTTTGTGAGTCCGGGGTGCCTTTGTGCACCGAGGCCTTTTATTTACAACTCGCACAACAGATCAGATGTGACAAGGCTGAAAGGTTGTTGCCCTAATCTCTAAAGCATGGTTCAGATTAGATCTTTAATATATTAGTGTTCCTCACGTGCTGACATTCTGTGGAATCTCTTACAGGAACAACAGCCTGTTACACAGACGACTCGGTTGAACCGAACTTATGCAACAAAACAGCTGTGCTAGAGAAGAAGATGAAACTCAAGCTGGGTTTAAGACCGTTTCCAAAGAACAATAAAAGTCGAACAAGAAACAGAAAGGAAGCAGTATAATAAGACAAAACAACTTGGACCAACCAGAAGTGGCAAACACAGAGATGAAATCATTTGTAGATCTGCACAAAAAACAGGAAAATCCAAACACAATGCTCTGTATTTATGTGATAATTTGATAAATATCCCCATCTAAAACTGATCATTTACAGACCTGTTGCCATATGAATTGATCTTTGACACAAACAGGTGCAGCTGAGGACAATCCAAGAGCAAATTACAATTAAATGAATAATAATAATAATAATAAAAAAAAAAAAACATTTAATAAATATCACCATTTAAAATGTTTTTATTTTTCATCCCTGGGTAAATCAATGACACACATCACAAGCAAAGTACCCTGATTTGTATCACACACACACACACACACACACACACACACACACACACACACACTTAAGTGTTAGTTCCATATTTTTACATCATTGTAATTATTGTGAATTGTTCCCAAATACTGACACTTTAAAACTTGTGGACACTGTTGTACCATAAGGAAAAATGTTATTAATAAATTAAATTTCTGTTGCTGTCAATTAAAGGTCCAGTGTGTAACTTAAAGGACAATCTATTAGCGGAAAAGGAATATGAGCAGTTTTTATTTATGGAGAGGGTTACCTTTCTACGCATTACGATACCTATTTACAGTGGAAGTGAACTTATATTAAATATACTTTATTGACCATATTTTCGCCACCATGAGTCCACCATGTTGAACTGCAGAGTTTCTACAGTAGCCCAGAATGTACAAACCAAACACTGGCTGTAGAAAGGCCTTTTTTAATAGTTGTAGTCTGCAACTTCACTGCTACATGCCACTAAACACTGGTCGTTTAAAGTACAAATACGGATTGTAATTATGTATCTTATTGGCCAAGCACACATATATATTTTACATTTTTGGTGGCTTGATTGCTGTTTTTATTGACAATGAGACAGTGATGACAGTGAAGGTATTATGTGCTGATATGCTGTAGAAACAGAGGTCATGCTGTGCACAGCGGATGGGGGAACATCCTTTTTTTTCCTTCTTTCCTGCACCCTCAAACAAAATGTAAAATAAATGCTAAATAGTGCACCCATAAAGATCACAGTGGAGGTGTTGCTCGTGTTGTGTTTGAGAAAGTAAAGCAGCCAGTGTTTAGCTCTGCCTTATGCACATTGCACAAAACAAATCCCCGGTAATAAGGAACATCCCCTGTAGCGCTGCGGTAGGTTTATAAGCAGTGATAGCTTGCTGCAGAAGCTATTTAAAGGTCCTATGGAGGCAAGTGTGCAGCCATGGATGGTGAGTGGGGGGAGGGCAGGCAAAGTGAGCTAGGCCACCATCTGGCCTCATAATCATATGCTGAGAGAAGAGCCCAGTTATTGTAGCACACTACCCTTGCTGACAATGACCAGTGAAACAGCAGACCATACAGCACAATGCATGGTGGTCCTTGCACAGAATCATGTCTGCCTGAGAGGTATATTTCTGGAGAATATGTTTTGTTTTGTGATTATTTATGTTTAAGGTATCACTGGTTTATCCATGGTTATTTATTAAAATGCTGTTGCTCATATGTTTTTGTAACTACACCACAAATAACATTCTGGTCCGAGTTATCAACACTGAAGCTGCTGTTTGTGTTTGCAACTTGAAGGAGAGATAACGGCGTATTTCGGTGGGCGCGTCCAAATCCGTGGGCGTCTGGGAAATGTAGTTCAAATTCCGCAAACCGCACCAGTTCAAACCGGGCTCCGTGTTAGCGAACGCCTCCATTACCCATAAGGTCTGGCTTTATTGCGCCTGCGCTGTTTTCCCGTCCATGTGTAGGCGAATCACGTGTAGAGAAACCGTTGATCGTCATGTATCTGCTGTAGCTAAAGCTCCGCGCTAGATTATTTGCCTCCAGTTGTCGCCACAATTTTGACAGCTGTTTGTTTTCCTTTCTCATACCTTTTACCGAAGAATGAGCGAAAACGATGACATCGAAGTCGACAGCGATGTATGTGGTTTAGTTTACTCTACAAGTAGCTAGCCAAATTGTTAGCCAAACAGCAACTTTTAACATTCCTGCCAACCTACGCTATCCGATTGAGCTAGCTAGCTAGCTCGCTGGTTTCTCTTGACAATCTTTGTATTTGAGGTGAAATATGGAGATAACTGTTAGAATAAAAGGCTCTTTAGTGCTGGCCAGCTGGCTTATAACTGAAGATTGAGCACAGTAGTCTGGTGAATGATTTAAATGGTTTAACTGCGGTAAAGTGAGCCGTCGTTAGTTAAAAAAAAAAAAAACCCGATTAGCGCGAGCCGTTTGGATTTTGTTTTCTCGTCTGTTCGTGCAATTACGGTACCGGTGCTGGGAGTGGCCAAAAAGGACGTAAGATGATAGTCGCTCAGGACTTTAGCCAAGCACAAAAACTGCAATGAATTCTCACATTTCAGCAGACCTAATGGAACTATACTATATGACACCTCCTTAGATGAGACGTGTCTTCAATAAAGTATATGTAATAGAAGTTCACCTCCACTGGAAAATATGTATCGTAATGCATAGAAAGGTAACCCTGTCCATAATAGGTCTGCTGGGAATCCCAGTGGATTTCTGCTCAGAACGCCTCTGCCAGTGATATAAATACAACTGAAGTCATGGTACTGAGAAAAACATCATTACACATGCATATTCCCATCGTATTTGAACTCCTCTTGAAGGGGTTTGCTTCAAATCTCTCTTCAAATGGATGTAATGGAGTCCTGTTCAGTGTGAGCCTGACTATGACCACGTAAAGTAATTCTTCTGTATAGCTGTGGATAGATTTGAAAGGTAAAGTCCCATTCTACATGGCCATTAGTCGTGGTTAACTTCGTGAGTGTTTACACGTCCATTTTGACCGCCCCGAGCACCAGTACCGCAATTGCACGAATAGATAGCAACACAAATCCAAACGACGGCTCGCTTGACGGCAGTGCAAGTGCGGTGTTCGTGTTTCTGTGTTTTGTCGATCAGGGACCTGCCAAGTTGGTCTGTTATTTCCTTACAGCCCCCCGGACCTCTGTTAATACCCCTCCCTGCAACGACAATCCAGGAGCAGGAGTTTGCATTGCATTTGAAACACACTTCCTAAATTTAACATCAAACACACTACATCCTGATTTAAATTGCCATTGCTGTACGAATCAGCTGCACCTCATTCTCCATAAATTGTTCGGTGGTGTTTTATTTGAATGTGAATCTGAAATGGTGTCAGATCCTCGATCCTGTCACATATTTCTCAGCGCCATGGATTCCCCTCCCCCATTTGATTAAGCTGGGATCTCCAGCTTTGGATCCACATAGAGCCACAGTATACTGATAGTGTCAGGCCTATAGTGTTGACAGGTTATGATGATTTTAAGGGCAGCACTCTTCATTGTAACATTGTGTTATTGTTAATCACATGCAGCTTACACATCTGAATGAATAACGTACAGCATCTTTAAAGCTGCATTTACACACTGCAGCTTTAAATTGCTCCCTATCATCATGTTATACATAAGAAATCAAGTGACACTTTCTTTCTTAGTTTTACCCAGTGTGTCCGTATATATAACCGTTTTTGTCTAAACGTTGCCTGTCCCTTTGCAGGCAGACAAGCGAGCACATCACAACGCGCTTGAGCGCAAACGCAGGGACCACATTAAAGACAGCTTTCACGGTTTACGAGATTCTGTGCCTGCATTACAAGGCGAGAAGGTAAGAGGAAAATGCATTTATTTTGTACATTCTATAACTGTACCAGCACAGAAAAATAGTTTTTAACTTAAAGGACCAGTGTGTGGGATTTAGTGTCGACTAGCAGTGAAGTTGCCGATTGCAGTCATTTGAATACTGCTCGCCTTCCAAGCACGTAGGAGAAACTACTGTGGCCGCGAGACTTGCGAAAAACGCAAAAGGCCAGAGCCAGTGTTTGGTCTGTCCGTTCTGGGCTACTGTAGAAACATCACAGCCTCTGTGAGGACCTGCTCCTTCTGTAGATAAAAAAAAAATTACAATTCTTGTTTTTATGTGATTATAAACTGATGAAAACCTCCGGTTTTGCACATATATCCTAAATGTTACACACTGGACCTTTAAGACTCCCATTAGCTGCTTATTTGAGGGCTCAGCAAGTTTTAGGTTTTCTTGTCAGTGCCATATCAACATATTACAAATTAAATTGCATTAAATTATAAGCCAGTCTAAGATGTCCCTCCATTCATCCACCTTAATGCCAGCTATCCATTTCATAAAGCTAATGTGCATGTCCTTAGAGGCAGGAAAACAAACAGATGCCAATCCTTCAGCATGTGCCCACTTAGCCCTTTGTTTCCTTTACTGAACGTTGCTGTCTAGGAGTTGTTTTTAGTTGTGCACATGAAGTGCACCTTCAGAAAGCGCGAGAACTGCATGTTCACCTGAGGACTGTCAGCACAAGCAATACTCCGTTCAGGAGACAGCTGCGTTTCTCTGCAGGAAAATGCAGGTCCTCTCATCTTGTACTGCTGTGCTTTTTGACTGTTTTCAAACAGGGTCACCCGCAGCGGTAAAGTGTGCAGCTCATCAGCTGTATTTCCAACTCTTTAATATTCAGTTACTTTATGAGACTTTTATTGCATTTTGGCCCCTTAAAACTCGATCTACAGTGTTCTGCTTGGAGAACTCTTTAAGAGGTCTAACCTAGAGGAAAGAAGAAGTCATGCGGTCATTTTAAAAGAATGTGTCAAACGTGTCTAGAACAACACGGCCTTCATGTTTCAATCTGAGATTTGAGATAGTTAAATAACCCATCAAAATATCTGGGAATCATTGTTGCAACCTTTTAGCAGCTTAGTCCTGTAACTGCTGGACAGAGAGAGGTATGTTTCTGTTTATATGTACAGTTAATTTGATTAAATTTAAATATGATGCTTCAGCATGGTGGAACTTTTTTCATGTGCCAAAGGTCGGAGACCCCTGGAATAGGTATTTATAATATTTCTAATACAAACTAAATGTACATGTGATGTATGACACTGTGATCTGTGTGTAACTGTTTTGTGAAAGAATATATCACGTTGTACTTGAACAAATGGATACTGCAGCTTTGTCCCATGGCTCTCTGAATTTTTGCTGACAGAACTCTGTCAAACAGGCTTCCCGAGCACAGATTCTAGACAAAGCCACCGAGTACATCCAGTACATGAGACGAAAAAACCACACCCACCAGCAAGACATTGATGTCTTAAAGAAGCAGAATGCACTGTTGGAGCAGCAGGGTAAGTGGAGGAACTGTTGTTATGGACTTTTATGACTAAGTGTGATGTAGTCGTTCAGTAGCAGTACCAAATATTTGATGTGAGTGATATTTACTTGTACCTGTTTGTCTGTGGGTGCTGCTTGCAGTGCGTGCGTTGGAGAAGGCCAAGGGGAACACTCAGCACCAGACAAACTACTCTTCTGACAGCAGCTTGTACACAAACCGCAAAGGCAGCGCGGTGTCCGCCTTCGACGGCGGGTCCGACTCCAGCTCTGAATCAGAGCCAGACGAGCCGCCCAACAGAAAGAAGCTGCGTGTGGAGCCCAGCTAGACTCGGGGGAGGAGGCAACCCCCACCCCTCCGCCCGGTTCTCCAGACAGACTCTTTTTGCCCACCAGCCCCCCGACTCCTCCTACCAGTCCGCACTCAGTCCTGCCTTCTTACGCCGGTCCAGGAGACGAGATGGAGACTGAGCGAGAGCGGTGCTATTATGTATAAAACGCTTCTACCTTCCTTTTTCCTCCTGGCAAGCATCCTGTCACTCCTTCTGTGGCCCAGCAGCAACAACTTTTAAGACCCCCTCCCCCCCCAAAGTGAGGCAGCTCTGCAGTTTTGAAGGACTTTATGCTTTTCAAACCTCATGATAACCATTCATAATCAAATGTGGAGATGACAAGGTATGAGGCTTTAGTGAAGCTACATAAAATATATTTGTTTTTTTTCTCTGTCGGAGTTGTGAGACTTTACGACCTTTTGACGAAATGGTAATTAGGGTTAGTTTACCTTTTTAATATTCATACTTTTTCCAGAAAAGAATGTGAAGTTGCTTTTGAAAAAAAAAAAAAAGTCTGTTATGCAAGATGCAACACTCCTTATTCAGTGTAGGTGGCTCAATTTTGTTTTTCTTTGTCTTTGAAAATATTTGTGTAATCACATGAATCCCTCTATTTATAGTAATGCACCGAAATTGACTTCTTACCCCCCCGTGTCTGATCTCCCTCATGTTTTGGCTTGAGATTTTCCAGAGAACACAGGAGGATGAACAAGTTGACCTGCTGTTTTGGTGGATTTTCCACAGGTTCAACTATTTATTTTCCTCTATTTTTATTATTATCAAACAAATTGTGGGTATAAAAATAAAATAAAAAATCCCCTAATGGATACTGAATGTTACGCAATGCAGTTAGAGGGCTGTGACCTTTTATTTTTGTTAATGGAAGTCCATTTCAGTGTGTAGTATATAACACTGTATACTCTTAAATGGTGTCAGCTCTGCAAAGACAAGCCTTCCCATGAAATATTTGCCTGTGCTGGGAACGTTTATCTTTCTCTTTTTTTTTCTTTTTTCTCCATTTTGCAGAGGTAAATTAGTGTGTACGTGATCAATATTTGTTTGTTCCATTCCATGGAAATTACAGGTATGTTGTACATACTGCCAACGGTTGTCTTGCAAGTTAAGGCATACCTTTATTATGAGACTATAAATAAAACTATTTTATCCTTTTGGGATGTATTTGTGACTCAACATGTTTTAATAACATCTTAGGTAAGCCTCCTAGGTATTAGACTGTGTTTGAGGTTGGAGCTGCATGATGGGAATAAGTCAGTTTTAATCCCAGTTAATAAATTAATGTGATGTGTTTAAATAGAATAGAATCAGAACAATCAATGCTCAATAATTTACTCAAATATTGGAGGATAATGACCTTTTTAAATGTTTCTAGATCACTATACTTGAATAGTGGTGTCAGTGGTACAAATAGAGGATTCAGATATCTGTTTTTCTGCTCAGTTTCAGATATATAGAATATCGGAGCATCAGCAGGCAGGTGTCTGTACTCAGGCTACCATTGAAGATATATCCTTACATAGTAGTAATATTTATGGAAAATTGAGGCATTACATGACATCAAAAAACATTTAGATTGAAGGATTTCACTCATTTTACACATGCTGGATTTAAAAAAAAAAACCTGATACTAGTTATAGTTTTAAAAAAATTTAAATCAATAAATAACAATTAATTTGGGATTTAGTATTCTCCGCTTTATTACGCACTGGCAGTGCAGAGGGACAACATAAGTGAAAAAAGAACATGAAATTCTGTACATTTTAAAAATATAAAATTAGATATTTAAATATGAAAGTGAAAAATATTATTTTTTTCTGCTTAGTCAAACCATTCTAGGTAGGTGGGGTTATGTAGGGGGAATTTGGTCTCATGCTAATAATACCTGGGGGGCATCTGTTTCCACCTGGGAGGTAATGTTTTCGGTGCCATTTGTTGGTTTGTCTGTCAGCAGGATTATGGAAAACTACTGGCCCAATTTTCATGAAACTTGGTGGAAGGGTGTAAGAAGGGTTTCTATGTCAACTGATATGGTTGTGCTTTATTTATTTGCATATCATAGAAGGTCAGAGGGGCAGATCTACCCCAGGGTCGCATGGGGTAGCGGCACCGGTTTGGTGTCAGATTGAACACATTCATTTAGATTAATTAATACATTTTAAAAATAACATGTTAAAGTGTCAAATTAATGATCTGTTATGGCCATATTTTAGACTAAGTGATAGGCTTAGGTTAAATGAATAAAAAAGACATGTAATACTGTCTGAAGATTTGGAAATAAAACAATTTATTGATTTCTAATGCTACCATTAGATGTTTCTATACAATGCTTTACTAATGTGACATAGTAATATAATGTTTTTGAGTTAAAATATCTTCATTTGGGGCCTTTTCCAAGAAAATATTGATATACAGGTATGTGATTTTAATTAAACCAGCATATATTTCTACCACCCCTTAAAGTATCCATTCCACCCTCTTGCCACGCCACAGATATTTCTCCAGATCCAACCCCTGGCTTGGCAAAAGCTCTTCTCTCCCGGAGTTCTAGTTCAAATATTGAGTTTATGTCAGTGATGAGTCCCAGCTGACACTCCCACTGCAACAGGCTGCCTCGTCAAGGATGCAGGTCGTGCGATGCCTTTTAGAGCCGTAGGACTTTTTAGCACACATAGCAAGATAAACTACAACTGAAATAACCCATGGTGTTCGACACAGTGCAAAGACTGCAGAGGCACATTTTGTAAAACGCTCGGAGTTGCTGTGAGCTCTAAATGGCTCTTCTTGTTTTCCCTGAGCTTTTTAGAAACAAGAGTTTCCGAGGCGCCGTGAAGGCAGCGCACAGCCACAGTCACTCAGTGAGGACAGAAGCTTCATGAAGGAGTCATGCTTTGCTCTGTATTTTAGTTCATGGTCATGGCTAAACAGTACGACGTTTTGTTCAGGCTGATCATGCTCGGGGACTCGGGGGTTGGGAAGACTTGCATGTTGCGCAGGTTCACGGACAGTGAGTTTGATCCTTCACATATCTCCACCATCGGTAAGCCATCCAACAAGTTTTCAAAACTCATCCTGTGAATCCGCGTTAGCCTCAGGTCGAACCGGATAAACATGAGTCAGTGCCTTCTTCTGAATGAATGAGTGTCGAGGATGTATGATTTTTTTATTTTTTCTTTTTTTCTTTTTTTACAGTTTAGTGTAATTTCCCCTTTAAGTGTATGAGCAGGCCTACTTAGTTTGTAGGATTAGTACAAATTACCTCAGGTCATAACAGCCCTGAAACTTACTGAAAAACATGTCAGTGCTGAGAAAACTTAAAATAATCAAATATTTTAATAGAGAATGGCCCTAAGAAACGCACTGAAGGGTGTAGATGAGGTCTTAGAAAGCAGTATGTCACAGTAACAATGGAAAGGAAGGTCCACATGATAACACATTGCTTTCTCTGCCCTCAAAGTCTTTGATATCTTATCCTGTTTTTATTCTCAGAGCGAAACCTGTGGACTGACACACACACACACACACATTAGGGCCTCACATCACCACTGCCTCTTTTCCTGACTGATAAATAGGAATCAGCTGTGTAGTTTTGTTGTGACTGTAGAGGAAAGTGCTGTAGGGTATAAGTGGAGCCTAATTCATGGTGGGAAGGCTTTACATGGGATTAAACCCAGTTGTTTGAGAAAGTGCATGGTACATAAGAACTCCTTGCTTCCAGATCTTATTATTGGTAAACATTAGACAGCTTCATTCATCCCTCCAGATCTGCATCCAAGTCCATTAGATAGCTGTGTGTTGTAAACAATGTCTCCTTACATCAAATATCAGACTCTCAGGGATTCTGTCATTATGGACAGATCCTGGAGCAGCTTCACTGACAGAGAATAGAAGTACAGTGTGAGCGCATGATTGTGCTGGAATACACAGTTGGCACGCTTTCTCATTCTCTAGAAGCCCTACATTCAAATCAAACTCATTTGGGTGTAACATCTGAGCCTATGGAGTCATTAACTCTTCATAGCAGTAGTTGAACAGGAAGTACAAGAACAGATGCGTAATGTAGTGTAGCTGAAACGATAGGTCAACTAATTGATTAGTTGATTGACAGGAAAATCATTGATTGTTTTGTAAACGGGCATCCTATTGGCTTACTGTCACAGCGTTGTGGCTGACTGGGAAACCTGAATATAACAGAGCCACCGTTAATGTTATTAACACGTGCTTTTTCCTACTGACAAGTTAAATTGTCTGCTGTAGGGCTGGAAGCTCCATCAATGAACCATATAAGCTTATTTTTAAGCAAAAATGCTTAACATTATCTTGTTTCAGCTTCTCTATTCTGAGCATTTGCCACTTTTCTTTGCTTTATGTGACAGTGAAGTGAAAACCTGTGGGTTACGGGCTGTTAGTCAAGCATAATAATAATTTGAAGGTGTCGCTGTGGGCTTTTATGGAAGTGTGGTGGGTATTTCTCACCTTTTTCTTAAATCTTTAGACCAAAAGATGAATGCCGGGAAGTAGATAGGGGAAATAAATCAGTAGATTAATCATTATTGAAAATAATATTCCAGGTATAGTATAGTATAGTATAAATAGAATAAATATCCTTAAAAAAGAATAATAATACATTATATATATATATATATATTTTAAGCATCTAATGTATACAGTATGTAACATGAAGAATAGAAATAGCCTTTTTTAGAGTGGACTTTCAGTTGTGGTGGCAGCATAAAGACAAAACAAGACCTGATTTAAGAATATATACAGTATATTGTCTTTACTTCAGTATAAACCAATGAAGTGATCTCGAGTGATGCATTCCAGTTGTTGGCAGTCAGTGCTATTTTGTCACACTTCTTAGCTCTTGCGGCCACGCACCAGGTGGAATAAACACCACCGTAGTTCACATTAGTTGCAACCCCCTTGTGGAGTCTCAATGATTTAAAAGTTGACACTATGCAGTACCTGAGATACAATTCATTAGGGATAATAGTGTCTCTGAGCAACACTCATTAAGTGCTCCCAAACACACAAAAGCCTGACGAAAATACAGCAAAGCAGGCTTTTGCACCGGTTTGTCACAGATGCTTAAGTGATTCCATTTTACATTTGCATCACGAATTGCTTCTGTTATGTTGTGTTGACCCTGATTTGTGCTTATTTTGGCAGGAGTTGATTTTAAAATGAAAACACTAGAAATAGACGGAATCAAGGTGCGAATACAGATATGGTAAGTTAAGTTACTCATGTATAATTTAATTGCATTTACAGTATGCTGACGTAAATATTGTGTCATTGTCTTCTGTTGATTCGTGTTTCGTCCTCTGTGCAGGGACACAGCCGGTCAGGAACGGTATCAGACCATTACCAAACAGTACTACAGGCGGGCACAGGTGATCCCTCCATATGAACAATGACTGGGGTCAAGTTACCCTCACAGGTTATTGTAGCGTTCACTCTTTAATTGTTCTTTGTTGTGGATTCTGGTCCAGGGTATCATCTTCGTATACGACATCACAAACATGCCGTCCTTTCAGCACCTAGCCAAGTGGGCCAGTGATGTGGATGAAGTAAGGATAATGATAAGCACCCTAATTTCACTTGCTCCGTTGTACTCGTTGCCCTTCAGTGACCCAGTATTTGTATTACATCTCTGCGCTCTGTTTATGCTTGCTGCACACCCAATGGCTTAGTGTGAGTGACAAGATGATGAAGTCCCTTATCTCGGTGCTGTCTGTCTTGCGTTTTTTTTTTTTTGTTGTTGTTTTGCAGTCTGCCCCAGGAACTGTGCAGAGGATCTTGGTAGGAAACAAGTCTGATGAGGAGCTCAGGAGGCAGGTGACAAAGGACCAAGGGAGCAAGGTTTGATTGAATCTTATTTTGTGGTTTTTATTAGCGTGGTTTATGGTTGTTTTTTTTTTGCATTTAACTCACTTGTTAAGTGATAATAATGTGTAGGATTTTATAGACATGCAAAAGCATTCAAAGGTTCCGGTAGATTGTTGTTTCCAATGTTCACATTCAGTGATGTAAGGTGACAAGGATTACTACAAGATAGCTCTAAGGCTAAATGTAAGTAATGTGTTATGGGGAACACTGACTAAAGCTATAATATACTTTTATTGTACTTATTTCTAACCATATCAAACTGGGTCCTGCAGCTCGCAGAAACCTATGGGATGGAGTTCTTTGAGACCAGTGCCTCCACCAGCAGTAACATCAGCGAGGTAGGACATAGGATGCATTTTCAAAGAAGCTGTCTGGCTCTTTTGAAATGTGCACAAACATTGCGTGACACTATGCCTGCCACATTCTTATTTATTATCTGTGTGTTTATTTTTCACTTCCTCCTTCCTTCAGTCCTTCACTCGTGTGGCAGAACTGGTGCTGCAGGCTCACAAGAGAGACGTGGACAACTTGTTGGGATCTCTGGATGATTATCTGGAGAATGCCGCTTTGGATGAAGAGAAGGGCAGTCAAGATGCCAACGACAACACTCAGAAGACCTGCGCTTGTTAGACAGATGACCAAAACGGTGCCATGGCTCATACTGTAGCTATATACATTTGTTCTCCACTGCAACTTGACTCAGCCCTCCTCCACCTTCCTCAGAGACACTGACCTGTTGGCCAGGAGCTCACTTTTTCGTGAAGTTATGTGGTGGTAAATGCAGTTAGAAGCAGCAACCAGCAGAGGGACAATTTTGTTGCTTGATCATTGAACTCTCTAGCCAGTGAAGTATATCTACAGTGAATGATGGTAGCTCTGTATCCATTTGCTTTAGCAAGGCTATTCAAACACATGCTTTCTTCATTTTCCCTGGTGAAATGCACTATACTTCTATTTAATCAGCTTACTGTATTCCATCACCTTTTCTTTCTAGTTACTTAAAAGAAAAGTGATATGCATGCTTCACATTTACAAATTGATTGGTAATGTGTAAATCCATATCAAAGAAATCTGTTTATGAAGTTGAAACCAGTATATATCGTACAGCAAGGTAGCCAGAGGACAGAGTTGAATTATTTACACCTAGTAACTCAAACCAAGCAAGGCTGGATTAATTTACACAATGGACTTATTTCCTCAATGGAGACAGTGTTGTGCCATGTTCAACGACCTTTCTGAATGCAGTACATGTTTATTTACCATCCTGAATGTATATGTACGTTTGTTTTATGAATGTGATGTCACTGGTATTGCCTGCTGTATGTTTGGCATTTGAGCAGTGTTACAGCTGCTTAAAATAATGTTTTCAGGGTCTACCAAGGTGCCACAGATATTTAATTTTAATATAATGTTTGAAACTCAAGGAAGATGCAAAAATCAAGCAATGTATAAGTTAATAAACTGAAATTGTCATATTTAAAATGAATTAATTGGGTATCTGAACCTTGCTGAGTCACCAAATTTGGATTGAGAGTGAAGTTAGGTCCGGGGAGAGTTCAGACAGTGAGTTCATTCATTTTTCATTACCTGCTGTGAAAGACAGGTGATCACATGTTAAATTTTTGATGACTGAGAAAATGGATACATGTCATAGAGATACCATAAAGCTTAATACATGCCATAATGTGTGTTGATATCCTCCAACCAGCACTCTTTGAAATGAGCATGTCAACGGTATATTCAGGATAATAACCAAATTTTAAAAAAATTCTTGTGAGAAGCACAGCACATGACATTTGGGTTCAAAGAAAGTATTATATAATGTATACAATTTTAAAAGCTTATCCAAAATAGGACAACACACATAATTGGAAACCATGCAAAAACTGCTTCATGAACTTTTTTACAATCAGTTACATCAAACATTAAACATGTAAAGAGTATTGTATGTCAGGTGTAGATCAGTTTCTTCCAGAGCTATTTGACACCCATGAAAGGCAGCTTTCTGCCCTAAGTGAGTCAGGTGACCAAGCAGTTTGATACAGTCGCACGTTGAGATCCCGTCTGCCTCCAGTGTGGAAGCATAGGAGACGAGATGACGTTCATTGCCAAGACCTTCTACGACCTGAGGGCCACCACGCTGGAGGGTGACTCGGTGGATTTCAACGTGTTCAGGGGACGAGTGGTCCTGATAGAGAATGTGGCCTCGCTCTGAGGCACCACCACCCGGGACTACAGCGAGCTTAGCCAGCTTCAGAGCAAATACCCCCATCGCCTGGTGGTCCTGGGTTTTCCATGTAACCAGTTTGGATATCAGGTAAGTTGAACTGCATGTTTTCCTCAGGCGATTCTGGATGACCCCGCAATATCTAGTCTTTATATGACAGAAATCTGATTAAAGTACTTTATATGCAGATGATATTTTATTGTTAATGTCAGACTTGCTGCATAAATCTTCCACTTAATATAAACCTTCCTGCAATTGATTGCTCTCTCTGAATGTAAAATATATATTTTTCCAAATCTGAAGCTATATACCATACACCGTTTTAGGAGAACTGCTCCAATGGTGAGATCCTGAGGTCCCTGCAGCATGTGCGCCCAGGCGGCAACTATCAGCCCAACTTTACCATCTTTGAGAAGTGTGACGTCAACGGAACAAACACACATCCGGTTTTTGCCTACCTTAAAGACAAGCTCCCTTATCCCGATGACGACCCCAACTCCCTCATGAAGGACCCCAAATTTCTGGTTTGGAGTCCCATCTGCAGGACGGATGTCTCTTGGAACTTTGAGAAATTTCTCATTGGGCCAGAGGGAGAGCCCTTTAAAAGATACAGCAAAATGTTCCCCACCATTGACATAGAGCCTGATATTCAAAGACTGTTAAGATTAACCAAGAACTAAGAATAGCATCCACCTCTTAATGACTTCTCATCCATCACAATCAAAGCTGATATGCTGTCCCCCACACTTTTAAGCCTTATTAAATGAGGGTGATATTCTGAAAAGCTGAGGGAATATTATCTGAGGCCTTGTAAGTGCTTAAGAGTAGTGGAGGAGTAAATTCAATATATGTAAAAGGATAGAATTCTTGCAAACTAAAACCAATGTGGGTGTGCTTCATAGAAATAATCACAAGAGCAGTCCTTTGCATGTCCTTTTGTGTCTTGTCCTGTGCTAGCCCTGCCAGCAGATGGTGCTGCTGACTTGATCATACAAACAGATAACTTCTGCCGTGCTTTTATGAATTAACATTCAGCGCACACACACGCAGTCACAAAATGTTTGCACTGCAATAAAACCCTAAAAAGCAACATTCTCTCTCCCTGATGTATCTTTTGTAATTGGGCCGTGTATACGGTGAAGCATGTGTTATAAAGATGTGTGCCTCGGATGCAATGTTGACTAAAATAGATGTTGTCATGTCTGAAACAGCTCTGTGTGGGCATAGTAATGAGGCTTGAAATACAGTAGGAAAGATGTGGAATTATAATGCATGTTGTCATTCCACACTGAAATAACTCATAGGCCATTCCTCTGCATAATGCATCCTCTTGTCTGCTGATTCATTCTTTATTTGTTGATATCTTCTTTCTCCACCGATTCATTAGACCCATACATTTCCAAGTAAGATCTGCTGATACCAGTAGCCTAATACAACTGAAGGAGTGCTTTACAACCACAGCGACACCTGAAGACATGTCTTAAATCATGCCTTTAGGAAAGCATCGACCTTGCCACTGTGTAATATGTAATATGTGATATTATCCAGCTTTAATTTTCTATGCACACTATGCATTGTTTTCAAGGTTTACAGATTAGCAGTGGATTTTCTGCACATCCGCTCACATCCACATCAGCTGATGATGTCAGAGCCACAGGCTGCATAGGCCTGGCAGTGTCCTAATGTCTTTGGCAGGTTGCTGTGAGGAGAACAGTGAAACAGTCACCTGACACTGTTTTATTTCTGTTTGTGGCCAGCCTGAATCACTCTTTGCATATCACATTTAAATATTTGTGTTGTCATGATAGACAAGGGTCATTTAATAAATACATTTCCCACAGGTGCACTGCTCTGTGGTTGACAGGTAAGTAATGTTGCCTATTAGAAGCAGCAAATATTGGAGGAGAAATACCAGGGGCCTGGCCTCCACCCTCTGCACTGCTCCCCTACACACACAGCTTGCAGAAAAATACCACCAAAGATTGTTTAAGTTTGAGAGAGGATCACTCAGTTCAATTCTTGAAAATAATGTAGGCCTATAATCGTTTAAAATGATTAATAAAACAAGAACTTTCTCATCGGTCTGAATCTATGTAAATGTTACATAAATTCTTGAACTTCATCTCTGGACAATACTTTTGATTTGCATGCACTTTAGTCAAAATAATCTGTATAACATTGTAAAAGTTAATTTTAATACAACTTTAGTAACTGTTTTAATGTTACCTCAATATTTCCAACTTTAATTGTGTGTTTTAGTTTGGCTGCAATAGGTCAAATGTTGCTAGTTTTCAATGAACAATAGGTAAATGATTCCATGAACCACCATGTTTCTACAGTAGCCAAGAAGGGACAAATAAAACACTGGCTCTACATAGGGGCGTTAATTTGTGCATTTTGCAGCCCCCATACCTTCTACTTCGCACTCGGAGGGGGAGGGTGAAACAAGGGAGTAGCAAACAACTACACCATTAGATGCCACTAAATACCAACACTGGACCTTTAATACATGTCTGGAGGGGATCTTTAAATGTCCTTATTGTGAGTGGAAAGATCAAGTTCAAGCAAAATAAAGCAGAAACACGCAATAAACGTTGTTCAGATATGACCAAAATTAAACATACAGTAGTAAAACATAAACAGGTTTGTAGGCTGACCTAAAATGATTACAAGAGTGGAAGCTGGAGGGTTTTATATGCCTCGAATTTCAACGCAGAGTGAGAGCTCTTCGTTTCCCCTACTCTCCGTCTACCCACTACAGGTGAGCGCTGTTGCCACGGTAACGTTTGCTTTCCCCACCGAGCCTTCTCGCGAGACTCCGGGGCACAGGGATAGAGAGAGGGAGAGAGAGGGGGAGAGAGAGAGAGAGAGAGAGAGAGAGAGAGAGAGAGGGGGGGGGGGGGAGAGAGAGGCGGGAGGGGGGAGTCTGCCTGAATGATCTCATCCCTCCAGCAGCTGCATAGCGCAGCGAGGCAAACCCGTAACTTTCTATCAAACTTCCAAGTTGCCTTTCGGGGGGGAAGACATCGGCGCATTTTCGGTTCGAACCGGAGCGAACACGTTCCCCCGCGGAGGTAAAGGAAAGGGCGCTGCGCAGCTTGTGTTTCGGACCTTGTTACGAGTTGAAACAAAAGGAGGAAAACCCTGCTTCGCGTTGTGTGACAACCAAAAAGCTCGAGGCAGAAAGGCGAGAAGGTGAGTCGGGAACGTGGTGCTGCTCATGTGCGGGGTTGTTGTCCGCGGTACGAGGTGCGTGCACACATCTGTCGGCTGTCTGTGGACAAAGCACATCTTTGTGCTGTGTGGAGGTGCAGTGTGGAGCCAGTGCGCAATCAGTGCCACTGTGTGTGTGTGTGTGTGTGTGTGTGTGTGTGTGTGTGTGTGTGTGTGTGTGTGTTTTTAAAAAAATAGGTTTTGGTGGTAGACGAAGTGGACTCGGTGAGAAGCGGCTCTACCCGACAGTCACCGCTGCTGTCAAAGTGTATGCATCCGCTGTGTCGTTGTATGTCAAGGGCATTGTTCCCAGCTCTGCCACGGGGAGACGATTTACAGGTGGTATAGTGCGCACTACAGTGCACCTATACATATAGGATGTATGGAAGTCTGCTTGTGTAACTGTCACCGTGCGAAAAATCTGTGTTTTTCAACATGGTATTACCCCCGTGTTGTTGCCACATGATGGATATCAGGCAGGTGATTTCCTTGTGCCACATCTGGATGCCCCAGAGAGCTCGGATGTGTGTACAGCTCTGCCTGGTTCATCATCTTAATGAACAGATTAGGCCAAGCTGATTGCGTTCAGCCTAATCAATATGCTATGTTAAATGATGTGCCTCACGGTGGCCACTAGGCATTTTGATCACATGACACTCAATCCGACCCCCTGTTTGCTAATTTTATTTATGTCTGATTTGTAGAATATGCATAAAAGTTTAAAACCAACCTTTTTGGGCAGACAGAGACTGTTTTATAGAGAGACAGAGCTGATATTACAGTGGTGGCAACATATATTATAGGAAAGATCTGGCACATAATGCATGGCAACAAGGCAGAGAACAGGAATTTGCTCAGATAGTAACAACCAGGAAAATGTGCCAACTTGTCAAAGTTCAAACGTACGCAGTAATGTGTCCAAAACTAACACACAAATATCAGCTTTAACAAACTTGTTACAGGTACGCAGGTTGGAAATGGAACATCACTGGGATCCCGTCTTACTGAATCAGAGCGCCCGCTCTAGTAGCAGTGCTTGTTGGAGTTGGATAACTTGGCGTGAGTCAGGTGAAAAAAAGAGGAAGCTTTGGAGTTTAGCTTTGGGCAAGGATCAAGGATTTTTAGCATTCTTGATAGGCTTAGCTGACCTGCGGTGGGCATGACTGATCATAGAGCTGCACTGCCATTTTTACTGGTGAGTCTAATCTCAGCTTTGTCCCGTGTGCTTGTTCCAAATCGTAGCTATTATTCACACTGGACTACTTCTTGCTTTCTCTGATGGGATTTTATTACAGAGAATGAATCTAATGCAAATAAAGCAGCTTTATATCACTGCTGGGGAGGGGGAAGGAAGCATACATGCTCTGCTTTGATCAGAGATGCTACAGTGGGCCAACAAGTCTGTGTTTTATGCTGCTGCCAAAATACCATTCAAGGTTAAGATAAGACATTTCTGCGTGGGTCGCATTTAGGGAGATAGCAGCATGAAGCCCATATGAATGACAACTCACTGACGAGATAAGTCCAAAGAAGAGTTTTTGTGCTTCTCTCATCAACAAGCATGTTTTTGCAAACTCTAAACATGACTGAAAAAAACTATTGCGTCTGACGTTTCCTACCAGCATAAATAATCCTCCCCCCTGCTTTATTACTGAAGGACAGTGTTTCTATTTTCACTCATGCATCATACTTAACATAACAGTAACAATTGTTATTGTGCTTCATTATCGGGGAGTCTTTTCGAACGTGCCCACACGTTCACACAGGGATGCTTCCTGTTGCTAAATTGAGTTTATGTTTCTATTGTCTCTCGTGCATTGGCTCAAAGGGAATAGCTCGAGCAAAGATAAAAGACAACAACAAGAGGAGCATTGTACTGCTTTATAATTTGCCACTCTGGAATGTGTGGGCTGCAATTATGCTAAGTGGTCATCATGAAATGCTTAAATGAACTGTTTACATTTTATAATGAATTATTGTTGTGATTAATTCTCAAGTTCAAAGTGCATTTATTCCTTTTTGGTTTAATGATCTTAATGTCTTAAGTAGGTTTTGACCACGCCTCTTGGCTACCCTTTCAAAGTTTCTAAGGTTCCATCAGTTATCAAACTTTGTGACTTCACCTTTTGGAAATGTGCAGTACCATCTGACTGGCTGCTGTGGAGCCTGCAGTGCCCCTGCCACCTCCAGCTGCCTGTTAACTGATGACAGACTAGACGACAAACTAAACAGACCTTGTTGCGCTTGTGGCCCTGGATGATCTGGTGCGCCAACAAGACCAATGTCAACTACGAGGCCAGTTTCTTCATGCTTGATTATTCTGCGACAGGCACCGAAGTGAGTCATATGTTCATGAGGTTTGACACAACCTGAAGTAATAGCTTGGAATATATCACCTTTTCAGAAGAGAAAAAAAAAAGGGAAGCTGCGTCAGTTTTAACATGAGTGATGTGTCTGACTGATATTAGTCACTGGGTAGTCAGAAGTCAAATGACTTGATGATAATATGGCCTCCAGTGTGTTTTTTTATCTGTGCGAGTGTCTTTTTGAGGGGTCGATGAGTTTGACTGTAATTAGGTGTGACTACGGGTCGGCGTTTCCTGCTTGCTAAACTGTTGGAATGCTCTTTCTTTTGTCTGGATCGGACGGTCCACTGTATACCAGCCAATGGAGGAAAGCAGAGGGCTCGGAAGCTACAATAGTGATGATGTAATCCCTTTTCAGCGCACTGTCACAGAGTAAATGCGCGTAGACAAAGGAAATTTCCCCTCCTTTTCACCCCATCTGCCACAAAGTTTTGGGAATTTTGACCTCGCAAACTGCACAGCAATCGAGACACTGTAATTATACATCCAGTAGATTCTGTAGGGTTCACTGATGCCAAGGTAGTTCAGTAGTGGGGACAGGTGTTGCTATATAGACTCTGATGTTGTCGACCTCACCTGACTGACGGTTGGGCCTCCTTTCGGTGGTCTGGTACTTATTTGCTCGTGAACTAAAGCAACATCTCTGTGACTGGTTTCTGTCATCCTGCCTCCAACTTTCAACCCTTAACCAAAACCCACAGTCATGCAGAGATCAGACACTGTGTAATTCCCCCTTTCTGCTCCCATCAAACCTCATGCACGCTCAAAATAGTACGACATGGCGCGGCAATCGGAAGATGGAGAAGAGAAAATGAAAACGGTTTGACAAACAGCCGCTTAGTTTAAAGAACTTTAAAGTGAGAGGTAGGAAGGAAGAAAAAAAAAAAACCTTCCATAATGAAATCTGGGATTCTGATGATGATGATGATGATGTTGTTGTGTTGCTGCAGGCTATCTCCGCTGCCACACGCTGGTGATGACGTGCTCGGTGTTGTCTGGACATGTCTGCCAGTTGCTACACTGTCTCACTGTTTGGCCTGCACTCTCTCTCTCTCTGGAGCGGATTACAGAGCTCTGCTCAGAGAAGAATCAAAACATCAAGCAGAGTTCTCTGCCCCATGCAGAGCCTATGTGGGCAGCGGTGGAAAATAATTCCACATACAGAAACCACAGAGGTTTTGTCTGTTGTCCCTCCTGTGGACAGAAATCTGAGAAGCAGGCAGGAATGTGCGAGGGCTTGGTCATGGCTGATCTCAAAAGAGCTCTCAATGCGTAGACAGGTCTGTTCAGCTTGTCCTCATTCCTGTTCGTGCTTCCAACTGTTTTCGTTACTTCGTCAGGAGCCGCTTTTACCATGTGATGTGTAGTAAAGCAGGAATGCTGGCACACGAATACCCTGTGTGAGGTTTCCTCTGGCATGCTCTTGTTTAAAGTTAATGTAGTGAAAGCATTCTTGCTGTAGTTTGTGTTGTTTCCTGTACTGAAACAAGAAAAAAAAAATCCCTCCTCGTATTACTCCAAAATTCCACGTCCTTTGCTTTGGAACCAGGGAATCCATTTCCACCCTGTGAGTTCCTGCTTTGCTCTTAGAAAAGCTGAGAGGGAAGAATGAGAGCACTGTGAACCAAAGGCTCCCTTTGCTAGATTCAGACGACTTTTTAAACAAATGGAAGATTCAGGTGGACTGAGTGAAAATGTCCCACTACCACTAGTCATGCAGTTCTTCAGTATTATTACCTCAGCCATTAACAGAAATAACTCAGTACTGATGTTAAAATAATTAGGCTATACAGTGTATAACGGTGCACTGTGTGACGAATTACTGTAAGGCCATAGTCTTTTTTTTTTCTATGTTGCTCCAGGTGCAAAGGGCAGATAGGACTGGCTAATAACAAACATGGCTGCTTTCCCAGCCTTTCCTCTCTCACAGCCTGTTTCCTGTGTGTTTCATTGATGTATTCCTGGATATTCCTTTGCTACAAGAGAAACGCACTTGAAACTGGAAGCTGTCACATTCATATGGAAGTGAGTATATGTGCTTGTATTGTACATGCACGTAGAAGTTGAACACTGAGACGCCACATTTTGACCACCAGTTTTAAAAGTGCATGTTTGATTGTTTCTGTGGATCTGCCTGCAGAACTAGTGTGTAGTTCAGCAGGCAACTTCAATGCAAGGGAGGAGGTGAGGTGGTATTGTTGCCATGTTTGTGTACATATTACTCATACTCGCCTTGAATGCGTTACCTGTGCACATCCTGGTTTGCTGTTATGCCCTGGATGTTCACCTTTTGCCCAATTTTTTCAAACAGAGCTTAGGAACCTATATCAGGTGTTAAAATATCCAACACTAGTTAGACAAACTAACACCATGGACGGTGCAAATGAAGGGCTCACAGAGAGCTCCAGTCAAAACTTGCATGTTTTCCTCCTCTGTGACTTGTGGGGATGCAACGTCCTGATTATTGCCAGCCGGGGGGGATAAAGGGCGGTGGGGGCGGTGGTGCGGGGGGTGTGATAATTGCATTCTGCTTCACTCTGTATCCACGAACCAGGACAAAAACAGAAGAATTAGTGGAACAACTGTCTGATGTTGTCTGATTAATAAAGCAGATGT